TTAGCCACCAGCGCATCCCTTGGTATTAGTAGAGTATACTGGTATAGTACTGCTCGTGTCCCTCGTGATTGCCCGGCATCAATGGCCTCCACATGGTTCACTTCATGGCACACGCAATAAACAGCAGTCCTCTCGCGAAGATGCCTGGCTCAAATCAAATCAAATGCAATAGACATCTCGCTCGTGTGTATATAAAGGTCGGCGCTGGCCTTCAAGTTCTCCCATCCATTGCCATCCATCTCTACTCTCTAGTGTGAGCAGCAATGGGGTTCATTCACAAGGGTGGGGTTTGGTGGTTCCTCCTGCTCGCCGGGGTGCTGCTGGCTGCGGCGGCGGCAGCAGGCGCGGAGCAGGACGATGGGGCGGTAGCCACTGCTGTCCCGGAGGTGGAGGAGGCGGATGAGGCCCGTCTGCGCGTCGATGATCCGGAGGAGAACGACTCGTGCGACCTCAAGTGCCAACACCACCAAGTTCCGGCGAGGAAAAAGCAGTGCGTGGACGAGTGCCACAGCCGGGAGCATCACCACCCCAGCAGAGCGTCTTGCGAGAACAAGTGTAGCCACTGGCAAGACCCGACGAGGAAGGACCAGTGCGTGCAACAGTGCATGCGCCGCGGCCTCAGCCTCGCTGTGGGCGGCGGCAACGACGTCGACGAGCACCGCCACGCCCAAGAGGAGGAGGTCGCCGGGCGTCCGTGCGACAGGGAGTGCCAACTGTCTTGCCAAAGGAAGTGTCAGGGCTGGAAATATCGGACCAAGCACCAACAGTGCGTGCGACAGTGCGTTCGCGGCAGCAACATCGTCGACGACGAGCACCTCCGCGGCTGGGAAGCGGTGGCCGGCGCCATCATCGAGGCGGTGTGAGTGTCATGTCACGCACCTAATAATAATAATAATAATGTAAGGGTATATGTCTTGCTAGGCAAAGGCGCGAGAATAAAAGACCAATAGCGTGCGGTAGCTGCATGCTTGGCGTCGTTGGCGATGCTCTCCTAGGACTAGGAGAGAGCTGCATGGAACTCTGTTCCTTTTCCTTGTAGCGGTTCCGGCTGTTCTGTGGCCGTTAATTGCAATCTTATCGATTTTCCTTCCTTTGTAATATGGATTTATCTTAGTAAAGTACCCCTCTGTCGTCCCACTCAACACCTTTCAAGCTACCACATGAATGCATTGACCTCACGACACATGTCACCCTCCGTTCATGTTTTATATTAAGTGTCGCTAACTTTATACTAAATCAACGCTTAATATGAAACGGAGGTAGTAGTGTGTTTGAACCCTGTCTTTCGTAATGAAAATCGAACTTGACCAAACTCCTTGGTATGCTTGCTCCTTGGTCGCTCCCGCGGGCGGTCAGGGGCATCGAGGCGAGGCAGCGCAAGAGGGGCTTGGGTCCACGCGCGTCGGCATCTCACAGGCCTCCCGTCCGGGACGTGGGAACTGATCTCGGGCAAGGACGCATGGTGCGCCGGGAGTGCAGGCGTGTAGGATGCATGGGTGGAGCGGAGGTCCGCGCGGTGGCTCTGGCTCCTGGCATGCTAGGTGCTTGTCTGCTGGAGCGTGGTGTGCCAGTGGATTGGGCATGCAAGATTGCGGGGGCGGCCTGGTGTGGCCTTGCAGGGAGGCGCTGCATGCGTGTTGTTGGTGCTAAATTCGGCATATCTTGAGGTAGGGGTCCTAAGTTAGGCGTCTTCACACGATGGTAACATGGCGAACAAGTGACATAGAGATTTTACCCAAGTTTAGCCTCCCTCGAAGAGATAATACCCTACATGCTGTTTTTGACTATAATTGATATGGGGTGTAGTATAGAGTACATGTATCTACCACAAGATTGTAATACCACATGATCTGTTGACTAGCCTAGCCTCGGTTTATATAATGCACCGGAGGCCTAAGATTTAGAAGGGTTATCGTCTTGTACAAATTTCCTTGTATACGTCATGGGCTACCCGAAGAAGCCCATTAATGAACCGCCATGGGGGTCCTCGGCCCAACCCACCTGGTCGGGCAACGATGTGGTGAGTACCCCTTAGTCTAGGAGAACAACAGTAGCCCCCTAAACCGGTCTTCAAGCGATGACGCTCCTCGGTTCTTCCGAACTGTTCTTTGTCTTCGGTCGTCGATTTTGAAAGCTCGTTCAATAATTCTTCCCATTTCCGATCTTGAGGACTGCCGAGGTGTATCTGAAGAGTTCACAAGACATCAGGCATCTGAGGATATCACACGTCGGGCATCTGAGAAGCCCCTTTAGTTCTCAGACTATCAATACCTTGTTATTTTTACACCACACCTCGGGTTCGAAGTTTCTTCCATGCGGCGGTGTCCTCTTGCAGCTGAGCTTCAACGTTGTATTGCATTCCACAAAGCCCCCCATCTAGGCATAGAATACTTGTCAAAATCATCACATAAATTGGAATCATCGGTAGGCAGGAGCCGGTCTACTCGTCACAGACGTAATGCCTATGTACATGATCATGCCATGAATAACGACATAACTATGTGTTTTTCTACCAATTGCCTAACAGTAATTTGTCTACCCACCGTATGCCATCTTTATGAGAGATATGCCTCTAGTGAAAACTATATTCCCTGGGTCTATTTAATCATATTAGAAAAACCAAAAATACCTTTCTGCAACTTTTTATCTTTTATTTTACTTTGCAATTTATATATCACCTATTACCAGATTTGATCCTTGCAATTAACAAGTACAAGGGGATTGACAACACTCTTGCCCATGTTGGGTGCAAGTATTTGCTATTGTGTGTGTAGATACTATTGGTGGGTGTTGCGTGGTTCTCCTATTGGTTCGATAACACTGGTTCTCTGCTGAGGAAAATACTATCCGCTACTATATTGCTTCACGCTTCCTCTTCGGGGGAAATCCCAATGCATCACACAAGCAGCAAGGCTGCGACGACGATAGTGGTGCCTTCTTAGAGCATCTCCAGCCGTTCGGTCCCCCAGGGCACAGAAAAACCGCGGCCTGGGGGCGAGCCGGCGCTAGTTCGGCCCCTGGGGCCGGCCTAGCTCCCAGTCACGCCCCTAGCTGCCGCCCCCCAGCCACGGAAAAATTTAAACATAGTCGTTCCCGCGCCCAAAATAGATGCCACAATCCGGTGATCAAGCGGCCTAGATCGGCGGTCGGATGAAATGTTCGGCGTACAAAAAAGCAGGAAAGGACGGAAGCGCGCATCATGCGGCAAGGTCGGCCTCTGGCGTCGCTGGAGTCGGCGTGCGCGGGCTTGACGGGGCCTCTGTGCTTGGCGGCGTGGCTTATGTGCT